GTAATAATAATAATAATAATTATTATTATTATTATTATTACTATTATGACCCTACAAATGGCCATTAAATGATAATTATTACAAATATAATTATTTGCAATGTTAAACAAATATAAGTACTGTAAATAATAACAACAATAATAATATTGTACATAATTATAACAATTATTATTATTGTTATTATCATTTAAATAATAATATTATTAAAATGCAAGTGCTGCAAATAAAAATGATGATGAGGATGAGGATGAGGATGATGAGAATAATAATAATAATAATAATTATTATTATTATCATTATTTCAACACCTATAATAGCATCCAATAAAAGCATCTGCACTACACTACCAAGCTCTACAAAATGCAAGACAAAAATCACATTCTGAAATATCCAAATGCACCATGTATGACAAAAAGAGAACAATCTGCATATATTACACACACACACACACACACACACACACACACACACACACACACACACACACATTAAGCCAAAGGCCAGTATCCTAGTAACTAATGAATGTAACTTAATTCCCTTGGGTGATAGAGGTTGTTTAGACACTTGCTATTGTGAGCAGAGTGCATATCATTAACACAACTTCAGATCTCTCTGTGTATTCAGCACTCAAGCTCCTCCACACGCCAAACGCTCTAATGAGAACAGAGGTGCTGAGTACACACGCTGACCAGCCGCCATGGCAACAAGATCACCATACAGTGCATGTGCATCAGTGGATGTGATCACAGAAGAACAGTGGTTATGTTTGCAGAGAGTTATGACAGTTAGAGACGCTGGTGTCACTGCAGGTGCTGCACTATGCCACCCTTCCTTCAAGCTGACCGCTGGCTTGGATTTCAACATCAGAGTGCTGTCCAATGGCAGTGTTTCAAGAAACACACCTGGGTCCCATCTCTAACACTATGCCGCTGGGCTGTGTGGCTCTCATGAGCAAAGAAACACTGTGATTGGACTGGAATCAGGTAGATCTGCATGATGAGTCACACTTCCAGCTGTGTTGGGCCAACAGCAGCATATGCATTGAGCAAACATGGCTTTATCTTGTCAGCAAGGAACTGTTCATTCAGATGGGCCACTTACAGACCTCGATATGGACATGACGAATTCTTCAGTGATTTTAGCTACATGGATTTCAGTTTTGACAGTCTACAGCTGTTCATGTTCACCTTAAAGGAATAGTTCAAGCAAAAAATGAAAATTCTGTCTTCGTTTACTCACCCTCAAGTTGTTCCAAACCAGTTTGAGTTTCTTTGAAAGAATACTGGTAACAATTTTAAGAATGTTGGTAACCAGACAGTTCATTGTAGCCATTGACTTCCACCATTTAATTTTTTTTTCTCCCATACTATAAAAGTCAATGGCTACCATCAACTGTTTGGTTATCAACATTCTTCAAAATATCTTCTTTTCAAACACATACAGGTTTGGCACAATTTAAGAGTGAGTAAATGAAGATAGAATTTTCATTTTTGGGTGAACTATACCTTTAAAGACATGAAATGAATGAATTAGTACAGTTTTCTCTCCTGTGTTGACATATTTGAAACAGAAAGCAGATGTATCAAACGACCTGGCCCATGTTTTAAAGGGCCCATAGCCTTTAGTTTATGTCACAGCATGTCCATGGTTCCCTGATGTTGGTTAATGCTCATGTAACATGCAAGTAAAGTTATTTAGTGTGTGTGTGTGTGTGTGTGTGTTATGTTGACTTTGTAGCTGGACTTTAAAGTGGACTCAAACCTCTGTTTAGTTGTGATAGTGATATATTTGTCAAATTACAAAAATTGTACTGTGTAATAAAAATACATATTTGATAATAATTATAATTTTATTTTACACTACAAGTTTCAATACTAATATTAAAACATTCAAACCTTCAAGCTTTAAACGTTAAATACTCTAGCTTTTATTTTGGCCGAATTCTGGTGAAATGCTGTAAACTTCTGTCCACAAAAATTTGGGAAATAATGAGAGCGTGTTAAGTAAAAAATAAATAAATAAATAAATAAATAAACCTTGTGCCCATTCTCAAATTCACGTTAAACTCATAGCACATGCAGAGATTGAGTTTTCTGGATATTTGTATTTTTTGTGAAACAAGAACTTGAGTTGTATGAACACTGTGCTGTGTTTCAATTTGAAACACATAAAGCATCAGAATATACAGATATTTGATTAAACAGCAGCCTTTGATTTCATAACACCACTAAGCTATATTGCAATTATCATGCAGCCACATTTATATATTTAAATTTTACATTGCATAAAATAATAGATGTGTACTGTATATCCGCTGTATTTAAAACAGTTTGCAACTGCTTTTCATCACTTAATTAGAAGCACCACAATTAAATTGTGTTATCTGTTCCAAAATTAGAAAAATATGAGTACTATTAGAAAAATATGAGAATGCATCATTTCAATCTCAACTCATCCTCATGTCTGGGCTTTTAACAGGCACTCTCTTCATTAAACACACAATGTAGCCTCTATTAACAAAGCTCATAATTGTATGCATATTGAAACCACCCCCTCATATCATGCAAGTTACTGGCATGTAATTATATCATTCAGTTCACTGTATATGGTTTTGCACAGACAAATGGCATAGTGGGTACACATCTTATAAAAATATAATACTAATTAATAGTGGTCAGATATAACACTGCATGCTCTGTTGAGCAGTGTTTATAGTCCACAGTAACTTAAAAACAATAAGTATAGAATGTAAATCAAATTGTATTCTACAACTGACAAGAGATTCTAAATAGCCTACAATATGTTTACCACTGGACATTGTACATCTAGGTACGGCCACATGAGGGCGCTCTTAGATCACTCACTGTGTGTGTAGACTCCAGGCTAATTGATAATAACAATACCTCATAAAGCAAAATTGTTATTGAAAGGGAAATTTTGTTTGAGCCAAACTACATGGAAAGTCTGTTAAGACTTAAGACTGTTAAGACTGGACCTAACAAAGTATGGCAAGCCATTTTAACATTTAATCTATAACCCGTAATAGTGTCTATTTTCATGCTACTAGTACTTATTTTTTATATACTAGTATCTTTTCCATTAAAGTACTATTACTTATTAATTAGCTACTAGTGCTTATTCTTTAGGTACTAGTAACTTTTTAAAGTTTGTGAAAAGCCTCCTGGTACTTATCATTAGCTACTAGTGCTTATTTTTTAGGTACTAGTGTCTTTTATAAAGTTAGTAGTACTTATTCATTAGTTTGTATTTATTAGATACTAGTACTTATTCCAATAGCAGGGGTTAAAGCGCAAAAAAAATAAAAAATTCCTGAGCCCGAACATTTTCCCGGTGGTGGTTGGTTGCGGGGGTGGCCACCTACGCAGGGTTATTTGGATAAACCTGGGTCCCTTTTAATACATACTAGTCAAAACTGAATAGTTGATATCTCAATGACAGATGCCCATGTAAGTCAATGGTGAAATGTTGGTAACACTTTAGAATAGGGAACACTCATTCACTATTAACTACGACTTTTCCCTCAATAAATTCCTAATTGGTTACTTATTAATAATTAGTAAAGTAGTTGTTAAGTTTAGGTATGGGGTAGGATTAGGGATGTAGAATAAGGTCATGTAGAATAACACATTAATATGTGCTTAATTATAACTAATAAATGGCTAATATTCTAGTATGCATGCTAGTAAGCAATTAGTTAAGAGACCCTGAAATAAAGTGTTACCAAAATGTTAAATTTGTTACTAGTCACTATTGCAAAAAGTACTAGTATCTACTTAATAAGTACTATTTAATAATAAGTACCAGTATCTAATGAATAAGTACTAGTGTCTATTTAATAGGTACTAGTATCTAATGAATGAGTACTAGTGTCTAATAAATAAGAACTAGTATCTAATTCATAAGTACTAGTATCTTTTAAAAAGGTACTAGTACCTACACAATAAGCACTAGTAGCTAATGAATAAGTAAAAGTTCTTTAATGGAAAATATACTAGTATCTAAAAATAAGTACTTGTAGCATGAAAATAGATACTAGTAAGGTTTATAGATTAAATGTTAAAACGGCTTTCCATAAACAAAGCTATTGCTGAAGTTTACAAAGTTTGAATGATACAAAGCATTACGCACAGCATTGAGGATAGATAGATAGATAGATAGATAGATAGATAGATAGATAGATAGATACATAGATAGATAGACAGATAGATAGATAGATAGATAGATAGATAGGTGAAAACTATAATGCATTTGGTCATATTGGGTTGCTCATTCCTGAAAACCTGTCCAGCTGAAATAATTATAGCCACAAAGAGGTCAGAACCACAGCCAGACATGCAAATCAAATGAAAAACAATTAATTTCTGCCATGTGGACCTTAATCATACACCACATTGCTGAACTCATTACAGGAGAGATCCATATCACAAATATATTATTAATATAGGGAGTGTGTTGTATTTGTGTATGTAGTTTGTACACGTGTAAAATACTTTTTGTTTAACTTGATAGTGCATTCAGAAAGTATTCAGATCCATTTGTTTTTTTTTTTCTCCATATCCTGTTATGTTGAAGCCTTCTGCTAAAGTGCTTTTTCACATCACGCTCACACTCACACATCACACTCCATACTTATAATGACGAAGCAAAAAGCACACTCCAGTCAAAGTGTAGGAAAATCTCAAAGACAATCCAGAGGAACGGGATGAACTTGAGCTAATTTTCAAGTGCAAAAGCATGGCAGTTATGTCAGTGTGATATTTCAGTTTTTTCTTTTAAATAAATTTGGGGTATAGAGTGTAGACTGAGTTTTAAATAATAATAATAAAGCATTTTACCAGAAGTCTGCAACATAAAATGTGAAAAACTGAATACTTTGTGAATGCACTATACTTGATTGAATCATGCTGAATTATAATTTAATGTACAGAACTCCATATAGTCCGATAACATGATCAGAAAGTGTTGAGTATCAGACTCACTTCGCTTTGGAGCCAGCATCTTCATAGCCTTTGTTAGAGACGTCGTCCAGACCTCCAATCAAGTGTTTGAAGGACCTGCAAACATGAACAGAAAAATTAATCCATTCCAGTTGCAGGCTGATACTATTGTTCATATAATAGTTCTGGCCACTGGCCTATTATTTTGAACTATTTCAGATGAACGTACCCCTGAACATTAGCCACAACAGATAAAAAAAAAATAAATAAATAAATATATATATATATATATAGTCACAGAAAAGGTCAAGGTTAGCAACAGCACAATATAAGCACAATATAAAATTTGAAAATGTCTAATGAAAAATGAATGCAGATGTATGCAATTTTTAATGCTTTATGCTAATGCAGGGGGTCTGCAAACCATCTAAGGGTTATAAAGTCATCTTTTGTTGTATTGTATTTACTTAAATTTGCAATAGAGTGTATTTTTAATAATAATAATACAAATTAAACTGACTCCTTAATGAAACAGAGTGTGCCATTGTAGGAACCATTTGTATTGAATAATGCCATAAACAGACAATTATCATTTAGGAACAAATAATTTGACTACGAGCTGCGTATATCTATGATCTGCACAGAACAGAGTCAATCACAACACAGTGCATCCCAAATGCTTTTCATCTCATTAAACTTCCAGCCGTTCATCTTCATTTGAAGGAAAGACATCTGTGGCTTTCTCTCTCCCATCTGTTAATAAGGCAGAATATGTCTTCACTATATATGTCAGAATATGAGTTCACACATAGAACAGTTTGTTCTGCTTCTAGAATAAGACAAGGATTTGGCTTGCAGAACTCTGGGACAAGGAAGGGTAAAATAATAAAATGTCTAGAGTTTCACAATTTGAGTTGAATTACTGAAATAAATTAACTTTTCCACGACATTCTAATTTATTGAGATGCACCTGTATATTTTTTTTTTTTGTGTGACTGTCATAAAAATGTTAGAGTGTGAGTGTTTCCCAAACTGTGCATATTGCAGGGGGGCTGCAAGCTTTTAAAACAATAATTATAAAGGCAGCAGTTTGCCAAGGCTGCTGAGCCTAATATTGCATTTGAATTTTTTTTTTAAAGAAAAACCCGACCCAAGACAGACCCGATGAAATTAGACCCGACACGACCCAACGACCCATTTATTTTTTAACCCGACTGGAGCCGAACGTAAACGGCACTGACGTGTGCACAGCCTGCAGCCCCGCAGTCAGTAAAGAAAAATCCCGGTGTCCTGCTGACTGATTTGGCCACTTCTCCCTTACTTTGATTTATTTAACATTTATTTAATTTATTATTACTTAATATCATTGCTTACCTGATGGATACAAGTTATTTCTGAGTTCGGCTTTCAATTGTGACCAGTGGTTTGGAAAAATAAACGTGATATCTCGATAAAAACTAAATTGATAGCCTAATAAATCATAGATTCGCTAGTGTTGGCTGCTCTGCAATGCTATTTACCTCATCTCCAGCGAAAGGATTCTGCACACAAAAAAAGAAAAGCCCTGCCCTGCATGAACACGCACTGTAATGAAGCGAGTGGCTTTTCCTGATGGATCTCATATCTATAAGATGGATTTCTGTGTGCGAGGTTACAAACGTATGTTCCTTTTCTACGTGCGTTTCTGAAAAATGTACTTAACACCAACGTGCAAGTACGTTAAAGGGATCGTGTCTTATCTGGTCCATTTGGAAAAAGCACATTTATTTTAAATTACCCGAGACCCGAGGCAACTAATACCGAACCCGACGAGTGCCTTGGACACGGGTCGGGTTCGGTATTAGTTTTGGACTTCTAGTTATGAGTCCAAGTTGAGGTTTAAGTCAATTCTTTACAGGTCTAAGTCAAGTCAAAATTTTTTTGCAGCTTAAGTGTGTTTCATGTTTCCATCTCTGTCACCAAACTAAGTATTCATTCACCATTAGCATATCAATAGTTGAGTTGCTTTGAAATTGCAGTGTCCTAATCGGGCCTGATGTGATAAATAACAAGCATTTATCCTAACCTATTTACATTTTCTCATGTTTCATATAGAAATCGGTTGTTATATTCACTCCAGAGTCCATTTTATAAACAAACTGGTTTTGCATGCATTAAGAAAGTAAATAGGGTCACTTTTAATTTCATATTGACATGACATTTAGGATTCCTTGCCTTAAACTCGTCAACATCTAATGTCATGTCGTACTTTGCCAGTGGTTAAATGTCATCCTTTAGCACACTACTTAAAAAAAGCATTTAGTTTTTTTCCCCTATCCTCTTATTAAATCAGAGAAATATTTGATTGCCTATGTTGCTACAAGATAAGAGATTTAGACATGAGAGGGAACCAGTAATAGTGTTCATAATTTCAGCTGCTGCGCTTCAGGATGTGACTCATCCACCAGAGAATTCTCACATTATCTCATATTTTTATTAGAACTCTGATGAAACATTTAAACTAAAAGGGGAACAATCCATTTTATGGTTAAGAGCTGAAATGTAGGATTAATTGAAAGCTTTAAATCCTAATGGCATCATTTTGTTGGATGTTACCATGATTTATACAGTCTTTTAAGTCTTGGCAGGTCAGGCAGGACAGCGGTAACCCGAGCCATAATAATGATTTGATGGACATTTAAAGTGTGAATGACTTTATATCACTGCACTTCTGACCCATTTCACAATGTATTCTTAGCACAGTCCCAAGTGAAGCCCCAGAATTAGTAGCAGAAATGTTCTGGGGTGTGAACCCAAAGTCACTCACGTGTACTTACATTTCTGCCATTAAAATACTGCTTTGCTGAGATATACACTATTTAAAAGGTCACTCGGTTCTGTAATTTCTGCTTCACTAGCAGAACAAAACGACTGCAAAAATAACGCTTTAATACACAAGTCAGTAGGGCCATGACAAATAAGAGAGACTACAATTTTTCGAAAAATTTTCATAAATCTAGTTTTAAAATATTATATTAAAATTCATGTTCATTACATACGAATTTGAAAAACAAAAATGTTTCAAAAAATGTTCTTGTATAATTTTTATTATATAAAAATAATTATATAATTTCCTTATATAAATTTTCCTTATATTAAGTACGTCAGAGTACACATCATAGTTATTTTCAAGTTTTTAAATATATATTTTTGTAATACAAATGGTATTTATTTTACAAATATGAATGATTAATTCTTATATATCAAGTGTTTTTTTTTTGTGTCAATTTTACTGCATATAAAAATATTTAAACCAAACTGCTTTACTGTTTTTTAATATAATATAATATAATATAATATAATATAATATAATATAATATAATGCTTTATTCTTCATTATGATTTTTCATTTTATGATTTTTTTTACTTATCAAAAATGATAAAAAAATAATTTTAATTAAGAAATTAAAAGCATGAATCACAAAACAGTTGTTTATATGAATGTAATTTTTTATGTATTTTAAATAAATTATTAGATCCAGAAAAAAATGACCATAACATTGAGTAACTGTTTGCAAAATTTATCCAGTTACAGTAGCTTGTATATTTCTTTCCACCAATGGAAATCATTCCAAACAATAAAACAGAGTATGTGACTGGAGCAGAGTGACAGCATTTCCCTTTTCTGCATTTTTCTTCTGAAATCCCTATGGAGAAAATGAAAGGTACAACTACTTCCAAATCCCAAGCTGCTAAAAAAGTAAGCATTACTGTTGGGTTCTATTCCTAGAGGAAATCAGCTGCATGAATCAGTGGTAAAAGGGGTCATATGATGCTATTTTAAAGATCATTGTTTTGTGTATTTGGTGTAACAGAATATGTTGACATGCTTTAATGTTCAAGAAACACATTATTTTTCAAATACTGTACATTATTGTAGGTCCTCTATGCCCCGCCTCTCTCAAACACGTCGTTTTCAACAAAGCCCCCTCCTTTGACAAGCGCAGTCTGCTCTGATTGGCCAGCTGACCCAGTGCATTGTGATTGGCCGAACACCACAAGCACGCGTCGGAAATGTAACGTCCCTTACCATAATCGCGAGCGTCAGCTTTCAAAGTAAATATCAAGACAGTTAATAATGTCGTTAGTTTTACCATCATGGGCGTCGCTAGGCCATTTTTAGGGGGCTATATTTCAAATTTTAAATATTTTTCAATCCGCAGACCGCGGCGGCGCAGAGCGAGAAACAGAGGACAAGGTGTGTGTTTAACGATAGATTGCTATTTTATACCTATCTATGCAATACAGTGGAATACTGCACTTTTTGGTATATAAATTTAGCATACCACCCCTATTAGTCAAACATTTTTTATTTTATATATATACCTCTAGTTACTCTGCGCTGCGCAAAACTCCGCATTTGAACAGTCAATAGCAAATACTTAAACTATTTTAAATACTTAAAATACTTAAACTAATAACAAAACATACTTACATTCAGAAGCGCCAGATTGTCATAGCAAAACGCTTGCGCGTGCCTCAAAAGAGGGCTGACTTACAAAGATACATAACAGCTACAAGTGTATGCACTACTTGCACCAAGAGCTTGTAACACTCCAAAGAGAAAGGAAAACTTGAAATCGCATCATATGACCCCTTTAAAATCCCCACTGATCACAGGTCAGCTAGCATACAATATAACAACAACAAGAGTCTTTTAATGAGCATTACCATAAACCCTGACTGATAACAGGACTGAGATAATGGGCGAATTCCTGCAGTGAGAGTGAAAGTCAGTTTGCATGAGGGGTTGCTTATTATATCTATTCCTCAGACCGAAGTAAAATCAAAGTCTCTGGAGTACGATGTCTACAGAGACGAGAGGAGGTCAATGAGTCCCACTGTGCAGCAAGGCATTGTGCTCCTACTGTTTTGTCACACGCTGTGCCACTCAAATGAGGTTTGCTGACAGACTGCTGTCTAAGAATGGCAAACGAGAAGATTTGGCTCCCTGAAGTTAACTGGCGTAAACTAGCATGAACTTGCCACAGTGAAAGTTGTATGAGGTCATTAGAAATTAGTGGCGGTAATTTAGTGAGCACACAGTGGAAAAGATTAAAGACTAATCAGATTTCACAGCATCAGTACACACACACAGACACACAACTCACTCTCTGTCGATGACGAGGCAGGTGACAGCTTCAGCAGCAATGACATTAGCCGTCCTGATGTCTTCTCTGTGGAGACACAAAGAATACATGTCAATCATACACAGCCAAAATCTATTCATTTTTGATTAATTACTCAATACACACACACATTTATATGAGATGGTTATTCAACATATAGATATTTTAGTTGAATTTCCAGCAAAAATAACTATTTTGTGACATACTGAGATATAAAATGTTATACTGCCATTATTTAATCAATACGTCTTTTGCATATACTTTGCATTTTTAAAATGTCATGTAAACACTTTAGCCCGATTGAAATCATACCAGTCAGATTTTTGTGAAGTTGGGCTAACAGAACAAATTGAACAGTAGCTCAAAAAGTAATGTGTAACAATGTGTGATTTAATCCTTCAAAATAAACAGTTACACATTGTGTCATGTATGGCCTGCTGGGACAGATGAAGACTGTAGCTCAACTACTAAAAAGACTCATTCGAGTTAGTTAATAATTATGCATGTAAACATACATAATAAGAGGAAAACAACAAAGCATGATCTATTGTACTGTTTCAGAAAAATTTACATCCGTAGTACATAATTTGTCCTAATCAGTGACAAATGGAGTAGTGTTAATCATCAGCCATTATTATTGTACAACATTTTTTTTTACCGCATGGCACAACATAAATTCATGTGTGTGGACCAAAATTCTGAATGACAGCTCCAAGCAGCTGCACACTGCCAATTCACAATGACCAGGTGGGAATGCTGATTGCCTTCACACACAAACAGGAAGTGCCAGAAAGTGCATTTGCTGATACAACCATGCCATTTTAGCTTGATTCTCTGAGTCTTTGAGCTTCTTTATCGAGTGCCGTGACTTATGTTTAATAAGATTCATACCAGTATGCTCTGCATTACAAGTGCAATGCCGTACCGGGCGTGCTACTGAGCATGTTTACCACATCAGAAAAACCATATATACGGAGCTGGTTTTGTGAGGCAAACACCAAAATGTATTCGTTTACACTATGGTAAAAGTGTTTTGAGGTAATAACAGTATTGTGTAAGGAACCTTGTGAAAATAAGTCTTTATTAATCAATAATCTGAGTATAGGTAGGTTTTTGGCAAAAGTGCAGGTACAGTCCCGATTTTTCAATGAGACTGTGTCATGCTTTTTCAACAAACCCAAACTATAGGTATTATACTTTAGGGTGCCATTCATCCTATTTGTGCTAGGGACATGATTTGTACCTCAAATCATGTGATTTGTTGAATTCCATAGCAACTGCAACACACGAAAAAAACACTCAGAGCACCTGCAACTGCATAACAATTCCCTGACAACCACCCACAACCCCCTTGCATTGTGCCAGAGAGTTTTAAATAGGCAAACACCACTCAAACAAGGAGCAAAAATCATGCTGCATCTTTACAATTACATTGATTGTTCTTTAAATTACTGACTTGTTCAGCAACTTTACAACACATTACAAGGACATCAACAAAACCAGCTGTAGACAGTAAACCACTTATGTGCATTTACCTTAAAAAGCCTGTAAACTGCCTGCCACATCCACACAGACATGGCGTGTTATGAAAGTACACACATTTAACAATAAAATTATTTTTTAGGATGGATTTTCATGTTTTAGGATCAAAACTCTGGGTATGGGGAAATGTATTTGCTTTTATGCATTTGAAAAGTGGCAAAATAAATGACAAAGGTAAAATGTTTCCAAATATTTTCAATGTGACCTTTATATAATACAAGGCCAAAAACGGTGATATGCCACCTACATCCTCAACGTTGACATATGGGTCTCCAATTAGCACCACACAGTTGCGAATATTCTTCACTTTCCATTGGACATGTCTATGTTTAGGGTGTCATTAGTGTTTGCCGTCTTGAGACGCATCTGCATGTGCTGGAATTCAACTGCCTCAAACTGGCTATCATTAGATATGACATATTTCCTGGTACAACTGTGAAAAAGATAACTCCCATTGAGATAGAACATATCAGAGATGCCGCAGCTCTTGCGAATAAGGTCCAATTATAAAACCTAAAGTGATTATTACATCAGTCCTGTGCTATTCACATCACAGCTACACTTATCACATCAATCGCACATGAAGATTAAAACTGACACTGAGAAAGTCCAGCACAGGGAAACATCCTTCAATTAGCATGGCACACTTCAGAGGCAGATGGATGTCTCTGAATGCTGTGACAGCATTAGGTGAGGATGGAGTCAAAGAAAGACAGAGGGGGGTTAAGACCAGCCAATACAAACATGTTTCAGCTGTCAGTTAAAGTCTGGATGTAGTGAGCGCACATCACAACAAGTATGGAGTGAGGCTTATGAAGGAAAGGTCAGAGCCGTCAATCAAGCTGGTAGAATAACAGGATAAAGTGACACAACATGAGCTACTCCATGAAAATGGAACCAAGGTTAAAGTGCCGGTTGTGGAGCATGAGAGGTCTTCAGTATAGCACTGTAATTGTAGGTTAGCACACTCAAAAATAAATGTATGATAGCCCTTATTCATTGTATGTTTTCATATATGTAAACAAACAATGTGAATATTATCAGTTTGGGTTCAAAGCAAAAGAATAATAATACAGGGTTTGAAACAACAAGAGGGTAAAAGAAATTAGAAGTTTTATTTTTGGGTGAACTAAAGCATTATGTGGTAATTAACATTAAAGTATAGCTGAGATTTATCTGACAAGGAAATAGCACTGATATAGCAATGCTTTTAATTTTCTGGGAAATTTATATTTACATAAATATCATTTCAGATGCATTCTTACCAAAATAACTTCCAATAAAGCCACTTTGTATTGTGTACTGTCAGTGAAAATGAATTGTAGCAAGCGTTTGAACAAGATAACTAATATAATCACAAACATGCAGCACTACAAGTCAAATATACACAAAAAGTGTAGTTTAAATGTCAATGGAAGGAATAGCAGGTAAGGAAATAGAAGCAGGTAAGTAATAAATAGAAGAAATAGCAGGTAAGGAACCATATACGGTAAATATCATGAAACAATTTAAAGCCCTCGTTCCCAGTTCTTAGTACAGTTTTTCTCGATTGCTTAAACACATTTCTTGAAATGGTGTGTGATAAATTATGACTCTTAGTGTTTCCACGTGGGTAACTGTGTGCTAATTGAGCTCAAGCTATGCTGACTTGAGTGAACAATATTGAATGCTAGTGCTTTCTAAATGACAACATGGTCTAGGCAATGAGAAATGAAGGTATTTGTGTGTAGAGTTTTGCAGTGACAGTTCAACAAATCTGATTCATGTGTTAAAGCAGGGGAATAGCGTTTATAGTTTAGGGAAACGGGTGCGCTTTTTGATAAATGGCGTTATGGTTTTGAAATGTTAGTTCAAAAGCCTGGTGATAGTGTTTAAGCAATCGAGAAAAACTGTAACATTGCACAATGGGATAAAATATTATTTAATAAGTAAAAATGTATTTATACATGGTTATATGTTGTCCTATTACATAACATTTTCAATAAACTATAAGATTTCTACTGTAATTAAAGTAATGCAAATCTAATTACAATAGAATAATATGGAAAAATTAATTTGGTAATTTGGGATGATGAAATGTGCTTGATTGTAATGAAAATAATGTCACATTGCAAAAAATAAATAAATAATAATAATTGAGTTTGACATGATTTTGGTAATGTGACCCGGACATGTTTTCATTAGAATTATCCATACAGTGGCCCTTGATCTGAGTGTGTTTGTATACTTCCCTTCTGGTGTGTAAACTTCAAAAGAAGACAATTATTCTAAGATCTGGTCAACATCTCCTTAACTGGCAGCAAATTAATTGTTTTGGCTCAACAAGGTGTTTTGCTTAAGAGGGACATGAAAGTTTACTTAGCATACAGGCTGTTGCACATCAAAGCAGTGGACAGCCTTTAATCCAGAAGGCCACAGCTATTGTTATGCCTGTTACTTAGTCAAATCCCAGGCAACTCCCATATCATACAAACAAGAATCAGAACAGCGTAAAAATAATGTTTAAGATGAAAGACTGACTTGATCCACTTCAATAGAGTGCTGATTGAGTTGCTAAACATACTACCACTCAAAAAAGAGATAAACTAAACAAACAACAACCAAAACAAAAACGCAAGATTGTGTACTAATTAAAGCTGAGAGTGAGAGGTGAGATCAAAAGACATGAAGATCAAGAACACACATTTGAAGGAGTGACACCTCTTCAGGTGAATACACTACACACCATATTGCAACTCATCAGCTTGGTCGTCCTTCGGCTCAGATCAAAGCAAGAGCCATCTAACTAGGTGGCTTTGTGAATAGAAACAAAGTAACAATGAATCAATAGATCATATAATATATAACTATAAATATACAGCTGATAGACACATTTGTAACAAACAATTATAATAAAATGCACTTGCAATGACAATACCATGCCCTCAAAATATGTATGTGGTAAAAATAGAGTGTACTTAAATGTAATAGTTACTACATTTATCGTAGCTAATAAAACTGTTAATTAGGTACTATCCATCAATGTAATCAAAAACAGAATTAAATCATTCATTTAACATTAACATTGCTAATGCATTAATCGTGAATTAATAGTTTATTATTTTTGAGTTTTAACTTTTTTAATGTAAAAATTTTACAATTTTAAATGTGTAAGTTTATTAAAAATCAACTTTATCCAAGATTAATAAATGCAGTAGAAGTACTGTTTATTGTCAGCTTGTGATATCTAATGCATTAACTAATGTTAACATGTTTGGTTATTGTAAAATGTCACCAATTAAAATATGGTGCATCCAATCAGACTTCAAGGTATTTTGGTGCAAGTTCAGCTAGTCAAATATGTTGTTTGTGACCAAAATAGTATTTTGATGTCAATTACTGAAAAACTTAAATTCAAGAGACATTTAGAACCCAAACACTCAAGCTAAAACTTAAACTATACAACAACAAAGTCTAGATTAGTTTCTCAGCACTGTCTTCACTTTTGATACAATCAGAAAACTCAGAAACAATTTCATTTTACTCTCGTGTGCCTCACAGGTTGGCATAGTGTACCGTAGTGAACCAGAGGCACTTCTGTTTGAGACTTCTTGAATGTTAGGGTTCAAAAGGGATGAAAGTATGTCCTCCTTGATTCATGATTTCATCATGAGCTCTCGTCCCATGAGTCCTATGGCCAAAACATATCCTCCTACTCTCTCATTCAAGCTAATCCTAGCAAATATTAATTTTCCCAGCACGGACCTTTTATTTTGTGTGAAATGTGCAGGCTCTTTATTTCGGTCCATTAGCAGCTTGCCCCTTTTTTCAGGGTCGATGACAAGCTCAATATCACAACACAGCTGTGCAACACCAGCCAAGTGCATTGACGCGTGCTTGTTAAATGAAAAAAAAACATTGTAGAAACCCTTTATTGTGTTTATTACTACTCATTAGGGTAATTGCCCAAAAATAACAATACAATGGATTGTTTTTTGTCACAACCACCACCATTAATGAACTAACGCTTCCTCTGATCTCCACTAGGAGTCCCCAATGCATTCGTTTTGTCTGTATCCCTTGCAACAGCTGTTCAAAAAGTTTCAAAACTAAAACCATCATGTGGAAAAAATGTGTAAATGTGTAAAAATTGTAAACACAAATCGAAAGCCGTAATGGAAGCTTGAGTGAAGGTGCCTGCATTTGGCCTCTATTGAAACAGCAGCAGAGGGATTGTGCAGGAATATGGAAATAGAGCAGAGGATAATGTTCATAACCCTGTGAGAAATATAAGGTGGAGAGGATTGCATGTGCATCTGACTGTTCTGACACAACCGGTCTCATCTTCTCTTCAAATTAGCTCTACTCAAGAAGTGCTGTGTGCTCCCAGTCCATTAGATGGTACCCTTGCAAATAAAGCATCAAACATGACAGGCATTTTTCATATAAGCCCATTTCAAATCAGGCTAAAAGCCAAATGAAATGCAGTTCACAGCTCACTTCCATAATGTGGAATATTCAGATATTCCATAATGTTCAAATATTTCAGAGTGAGACAGAAGAAAAAATGTAGAGGAAGACTTCACAAATAAGAGAGATCGGTAATGTCAGCCGGAAAAGAAAGTTGTTTCGGAGGTGGAGCAAGTTATTTTATACTTTTGTATACTTTTGATGAAAGGTTATGATTTATTTCTCATACATCCAGAATATGTATTTAGAAAGCAAACAAGGCCAATTTTAATTTCGTGTTGACTTTAAATGCTAAAACTATTCCCATTGCAAGTTGAACACAACTCAAAACAGATGCTTTGTTTGGATGTGCATTTGATTTTTCTCTGTTTACAGCCAATTAGGCTGTTCCTGCAGCAAACGATCCATCAAGCACATCATTTATGTCAACAGTTGCTTTTGTAAACAAGGACAGTGGCCAGCTGTGATTACAGCACTATAAGTAGTGAGCAAAAAGTTCTTACCCTTGAAGGGCTTTTTCTCCAAACCAGTCTCCTTTACCTAATGCCCGCAGATAGACAGGGGTCCCATTGGGTGGATCTTCTCGAGTAACGTTCACCTGCAATTACAGATTATTGGTCATGAAAAGCTGGAAGACTGAATAATCCACTGATTTGTTCTTAAAATATCAATTATTTAGCATTTACATTAGTGGTCATGATTGGTATTTATCACTCTAATTATACTAAATGATAGAGCGACAACAGAGAGAGTGTATTTGAACGAAGGGTCTTGAAAATGTGTTCAGATTAATGGACAGTTCACACAAAAATGAACATTTTGAAGGAAGAATTTTGAAGAATGTTGCTATTCTGTCAGCTGCGTCACGCAGATATGTTGTTTTCATTCAAATCAAAGCACAAACAACGTAGGAAACAGATCCGGCGTGACGCAGCTGACACAGAATAGCATACAGCGGATATTCTCCAAAATGGCACCAGGGTGATGCGGAGGAGACGAATTGTTGAATAAAGTTGTTATTTTTTTTCTTTTGCGCACAAAAAGTATTCTCGTAGCTTCGTATAATTGCGGATGAACCACTGTTGTCACATTAATTATTTTACAGATCTCCTTGCTACGTTTCTGGACTTGGGAACATTTCAGTTGCGTTGCTGTCTATGCAGGGTCAGACAGCTCTCAGATTCCATCAAAAATATCTTAATTTGTGTTCCGAAGATGAACGAAGGTCTTACGGGTTTGAAATGGCATGAGGGTAATTAATGACAGAATTTTCATTTTTGGGTGAACTAACCCTTTAATAAGGGCTTATTTTTCTTAATTCTTAGGGAATAATGACTTAAATTTCACTAAGTTCTTCATACAAAGATATTGTATAACTTTTAAAGATTTGGAGTATAGCATACAACTCATATGTACTTCTTTTATGATACTTGTTATGTTTTTATTCAAATGTTGTTCATGCGAATACCACGTTTGTGGTATTCGGTCTCTGTGGTGGAAAAGATCTTACCTTTCCCTTGCTAATGATAAAGAATGTGTCCCCTCTGGCACCTTGTCTAATAATGTACTCTCCATCACTGTAGTGAGTCTGAGAAACGAGATAAAGAAAGAGAGGCAAGGAGAGAGCATTACTGAAGTGTAATTTTTTTCCTTCTAGTTCAGTTTTCACAGTGTTGCTCCATCATAATCATTCTCAAGCCATCACGAAGACAGTGCCTCAGTCACGCAATAGGCCACTTCAGGGCTGCAACACCAAAACAAGAACATAAGTCCTCATAGCAGTAATCCATGTTACCGGAAAACCACAACAGCACCCACTGCAAATGTAACTCTGAGAAACTTCGGCTGAAACCTCAATGTTTAGACTATAGTCATTTTAAGGCCTGAAACAAACCCTACACAAGTGCAGATGCAGATTCCTGATTTCACACACCATTATATGGTGTTTACTAAGGCAAAAATCACTATTATTATACTCAAGGATCTGATCAAACCTTTTACCTTAAATACTGGTGTGCAATTTGTCCAGCTTTGTACTACAGTTATACCTCAAATTGGGTGGCTTGTTGAGGAGAGGTGTGTTGTTACTAGGGATGCACTGATACCGATACTGGTATTGGTATCGGGCCCGAAAATGCAATAGAAATATTGGTATCGGTACTCGGTATCGGCAAGTACCAAAAATAAAAGTATCGGTATCAGGCGAGTACTGGAAAAAGTGGTATCGGTGCATCCCTAGTTGTTACTTTTTTAAGCACTTGGACTTCAAAGGATATTATAAAGGCTTGGGGATGCAATCTGTTGACTTTGGTCAATAAATAACCACCTAGGATCACCTAGAACACCATAGGAACTGCATAGCAATGTGATGAAACCTCTCAAAACACCACAGCAACCACATAGCAATGCGCTGGCAACCACCATGGCAATTTTTCAAGCACCACTAACATTGTCTTCAGCAAATGTAAAATCTTTTTGTTCCAAAATGTGTTACATGCAATTCAAAACATCTTAAGACCAGCTTCTTTTACAGTCAGTTTTATTTGGTCAACTACTTTAATTGCAGAGCAACAGCTTGAAAGGCATTTTGTACATAAATCTCACTGATTATTACAACTAATGGCAAAAAGAATGTTTGGAAATGCAAACTACTGGCACTCAAATGCAAAAGATATAAATAACTCTTAATTTATTCTTCTTCATTAAATTAATTGATTTTAAACTTAGTGTTAATGTTAATTTCAACCTTTACTAATGCATTTCAAGTCAAGTCAAATCAAGTTTTATCAGTGAACATTAATGCACTGTGAACTAACATAACATGAACACTGAACAATTGTATTTTTTTAAACTAACATTAATATAATAAATTATAATAGATAATAAATGCTGCAAGAAATGTATTGCTGATTTTTAGTTCATATTAGTTAATGCATTAACTAATGCTGGCAAATGAGACCTTATTGTAAAGTATTACCAATAATAATAATAATAATACATTTGTTACCTTGAATTCTAAAGCTTGTTAACAGCACAGTAACCACAAAGTATGCTAAGTATACAAGAGTAGTCTAAAGGCCCGTTCACACCAAGCACGATAACTATAAAGATAACGATAAAGATATAGGCTTAACCCTTTTTTTTTTTTTTTTTTACCTTGCTTTATTTGATTTACTACGTTTGATTGATTTAATGAAAAAAATAATAAACATTATTTATTGCACATGACAAGAACATGTTTCTACAACCATGATGCAATGGGATTGTCATGATATATGACTTTTCTTTGCATCTGCTGTTCCTGACAGCAGCCTTTGTAACTGAACTATTTCTCCTGTACAGAGCTCATCTTAAACCCAATGACCTGGACATCAAGACCTAACACATTTCTCATAATTTCAGAGATCAAGCCCAGTTCCTAAAGCCCAGAAACCCTGAAAGATTTGATTTGAAATATGGGGGTTCACATTAGTTCTTCAGTTTATAGCAGTAAAATTAATGGGCTGCTCCTGCAGCATTGTGCAGTTCATAGGGCTATTGCTGAGCTCACCTTGAGGAAGTAATAATGTTGAGGTTCAGGATTGAATTTGACTCTCTTTTGTACTGTTAGTATATATTATTAAATACCACCTCTACATCTCTTAACAGCATCTGTGGCTTGCTGAAAATAATACTGACTCATCCAGCATTTTTAAGCACAAATTAAAAACACATTTGTAGTAATGTGCATACAATAGAAGTTCACAGTGCAAGGTATTCCACAGGGTTTAAAGTCAGAAATGTGAAATTCTTGCATAAAGGCTTGAGTAAACTTTATTTATTTTTATTTATTTTTTGTAAACTGTGAATATAATTTGTTAGCAGTGAAAAGTTTATTTGCAGAATTTCACAATTCCTATATTCCTGTCTGTGGAGTTTTACTAAAATATACCAATGCAGAATAGCATACTACCATACTATTTTTGCTGCAGTATACACTGTGCACAAAATGCAAATTTTCTGTATGCATAAAATTTCTGGAAGAATTTCTAAAATATACAGTATACAGTGGGTACGGAAAGTATTCAGACCCCCTTAAAATGTCAACGATTCTGTGTTTTTCTGTCAATATGGGGTGCTGTGTGTACATTAATGAGGAAAAAAAATTAACTTAAACGATTTTAGCAAATGGCTGCAATATAACAAAGAGTGAAAAATTGAAGGGGGTCTGAATACTTTCCGTACCCACTGTATAACAGTATTGACTGTGTGGAATACCTTATAATGTGACCTACTTTGTGCAATGGATAAAATGGAAGTAATATCAGCTGTAATTTGTAACATTTTGTTCTTGACATTATCTGATTGTACTGCCAAACATTCAAACATTTTAACCCTTGTGCTCTGCTGAAAATCCTTTATCTAATTTGGTGATCCTGGTAAAAAATGATTGGCCTTTAAAAATTGGATTGTGCATCTCTTATTATGCTATATTATCACCAAATCTTGCATTTAATCTTTTTGGTAACTTGTTTTCTTTCGATTAGCACGGGTTTTGCATTTCTTTTTTAAACTGATTGGCTGTAAGGCCTTTGACCTGACTTTATGCACCTCGTCTTTGAGTAAAAGATGCATCATTTTGGCAATGTTCACTCATGTGTTGCATAAACTCGTATCAATGAGACCTATCAGTCAGTTCCAAAAAGAAATACAAAACCTGTGCTCATTGAAAGAAAACATGTTGATAAAGCAATTTTTGTAGGCCAGTCATTCTTGACTGGGAACACCACACATGTAACAAGGTGGGGGAAAATTCCTAAAAAGTACAAAAATAGGAAAGTTGTTATACCCTGTGTGAGCAAAGTCTGTAACTCTTATTTCAACCGCGATAATATTAATAGTATTAATATGAACATATTATTATTAGCACATAATATTACTAGCATTAAGTATATAACTTTAACTGCAACCCTCCTCTAGAAACCCCCCTCTTTCCACTCTTTGCCTTACATTCTTTTATTCTTACCATACATTCCTATCTCAAACATCTAATGGAAAAATCTGACTTTCTGACCCATGTTGCTCCAAGTAGAACAGTACAGTGTGGGAATGTCTGCCAACTCCAGCACTTCACAAGTATGCCTGGGATAAAGCCCAGACATAGCTAACTGCTGTAGACACAGGATAACAGAGAGCAATATTGACTTCCGCATTTTAAGAGGCCTTGGTTTCAGGTGTGTTTTTTTCCCATTTACTTTCTTCATAAGCTTTTCAAAAAATATTCAGCATAATAGTTCTAATACACAAACCAAACTGACCAGATTTTAAACAAAAAATCAGGGAAAAAAAATTAATTAAAAATTAATGTCTTTTATGAGGAAATGTCTTTTATGTTTTACACAAAAATACTATTTCAGTCTTTCTACTTTTCCTAGCAACGTCTGGGTGAAAACTGTTTCAAAAGAAAGTCCTATACCAGATTTATTCAGTGTAGTAAATATATACAAATATATGTTGTTTAAAAGTGTATGGAGTCTAAATCACTGGGAGTGTGTGGTCAATACTGAGCTCTTTTGGTGCAATTCGTGTTTCCATGGTAACTGCAGCTTATCTGATTGGTGGATCTCTTTTTGGGATTATAGAAAGTCCTATACCAGATTTATTCAGTGTAGTAAATATATACAAATATATGTTGTTTAAAAGTGTATGGAGTCTAAATCACTGGGAGTGTGTGGTCACTACTGAGCTCTTTTGGTGCAATTCGTGTTTCCATGGTAACTGCAGCTTATTTGATTGGTGGATCTCTTTTTGGGATTATGGACAGTGTAGTTGTTCACAGGGAATTCAGCAATTTCTTTTTTGACATTTGTATGTTACAGCTTCAATTCAGTTTCTCCATGAAGAAAATTAAAGCGGTCATGAATTGAGAAATCAATTTTTACTTGGGCTTTTGATATATAAGAGGTCATCATAGTAAAAGAATATCCTGTAAGTTTCAGAACTGAAAACGTCCTTGTGACTGAAATAAAAGCTTTTATTGACACCAGGCCCAGCGAACGCCAGATCCTGGAATGTGCCTATGTATGACGTAAGAGTTAGGTTAAACACCGCCTCCACAGAAGAATATCAACGCCCAATTCTGTAGCCCCGCCCACTGATTCGCGCATGACATAGTAGGGAAATAACATAAGTGGCGCTAAACCAGATTGAGCAACCAAGCAATAAACATGCTGTTGAAGATCGCAAAATATTGTGCAGTGCCTGGTTGTGGAAGAACACAGTTGCTGCATAACCTTCCTTCGGATTCAGATATTAGGAATGTGTGGTTGAACTTTATTTTTAATGAAGTTTCAGCTCACGTGAGTAAATCATTAAGTGTTTGTTTGCTTCATTTCACCGCGGATTCCTTTGCAAACAAGACACAGATAGTGGATTTGCAGAGAGACTGAGATTAAAAAGCAATGCTGTGCGTCTATATTGGATCCGACAGGAATGGCGCAGCACACTTATGTGAGTAAAAAAATATTTGTACTATGTGTCACTATTGCTTTGTTAGAGATCGCTTGATATGTCCTGATTATGTGTACGTGTCTAACCAAAGTCACAGAA